AGAAAAGAAAGGAAGACCAAAACCTGGAAGATTCTCACGCCCGGCCGCACACCTGGGCTTTCCTGGTTTTCTGCGCTCTCTCAGAGGACCTTTAGTCTGGCCGCATATTTTTTTTGGGGGAGCTGGCTGTCAAGGGGAGGGCGGGGGGCGGGGGGAGGCAGGGGGGTATAAGTTGCTTTTAAAGGGGCTAAAGGGGTTTAAGAGGGGGTTCCATTGTGTGACTCTGATATTTCCTTTTTTATCTCCGATTCTGTAAGGAATTCCAATGTGACCCTCATCCAAAAGTCGTTTGTATTATCCCCCCCCCCAAAAAAAAAAAGTCGATCGTATTTCAATTCTACACAGCACTTTTTTCTATAACTTTCTTTCTTTTTTTTTTCCTTTTTTTTTTTTTTTTTTTTGCGTTGCCCGAGGGTCACGCCCCCCCGAGCACCCGGGCGTGTACCCGGCTATAAGTTGGGTGCCCGGTCGCCCGGAAAAACAGTCTAGGAAAAAAATGGAAAAAAAGAAAAAAAAAGAGGAAAAAAAAAATTGAAATTTTCAATAAATAAAAAAAAGCAAACAAAATGGAATATAATACACCTGGACATCGAGCACGAATTCAGCTGTGGCTTACAATATGTTGGGATTGACCGTTTTTTGACATGGCCATATATATTTCTCATAGACTTCTGATCATTTCTCCCTACTCGCCTTTGTACGAGTTGGGAGTTCACAATGACAAGTTTTTTTTTATAGTTTTTTTTCCTTCTTTTTCTGACCTCTATTCTTCACAATGACAAGTTTATTCAAAGAATCTCTGATACAGCTGGATGATGACATGCTTTATATACCCAAAACAAAAGAAAAAAGAAAAAAAAAAGAAAAAAAAAGGTTCTACTTTTTAATAGTTTTTATACACACAAAAAAAGAAGAAGAAAGATGCACTTTTTATACTACAATTTTTTTTCTCCTCACATTTGTAACCCCAAGCAAAAAGACATCACGTGTCTATTGCCAAAAAAAAAAAAAAAAAAAAAAAAAAAAGATCTCAAATGAAAGACCGGCCATCGAAAATATTCCGCGTGAATTCTCATCGGACCCATGCCATCGAAAAACATCTCCCACGGACCCATGCCAGCGATATCCTCTGTCGGCCACACTCCCAAACGCCGGACGCGGCGGACATCGTTAACCGCCAGCTCGTCCTGCTGGACTAAGAGGATTGCGACAGTCATTGCCTTACTTTCCAGGTGACTAGAAATAGGAAACTCCACTGTATGCGGGGAACTCCTCTGGGGTCGTGGAACGTTTTGGGTTGGCCGAATTGTACTTTCTTATCTCTATCTGTGTTCTCTACCTGTGTGGCGTCGACTTGTGTGTTGTGATGAGCATGATGACTCCTGTGATGTAACTCACCTGATGAGAATCAGCTAAGGTGAAACTCAGATAACCGACGCGGGCGCAAAAAAAAATGGACCGGCGTGGGCGCAAAAAAAAAAGGACCGACACGGGCCTTCTTTTGGCTGGCACCACCAGCCATTTTCCTCCAGAAGCCCAAGCCCGAAACCTGCAGACGCATGGACACTGCGTCTGAGAAAATTGATTGGCAATGCACCGGTGGTTTAACATCCTACTAGTACAACTGCGGAAGAGATTGACGCTTTTCAACATAGCCGGACTACTGCCGACGTGGACTCCCAAAACTGCCCGCCAGTGCGAGCAAAAACCTCCAAAGCAGACGCAAACTGCTTGTCAGGGTAACCCCTTCCAGCGGTCCACAGTGCCAGGACCGAATGGAACTGTCGTGGGACCTCCAACTGCATCGTCGTGTTCCAATCGATCCTGTGGGACCAGCCTACCGACGCCACCCTCTGGTTCTGCGTACTGGGCCGCGAGCCGTAATCCTGTCCGGACCTAAACTCAGACGGCCTGTTTTTCCACACTGCCTCTTCATTTCCAATACCAGCCTACCGACGCCSCCCTCTGGTTCTGCGTACTGGGCCGCGAGCCGTAATCCTATCCAGACCTAAACTCAGACGGCCTGTTTTTCCACACTGCCTCTTCATTTCCAATATCAGCCTACCGACGCCGCCCTCTGGTTCTGCGTAGTGGGCCACGAGCCGTAATCCTGTCTGGACCTAAACTCAGACGGCCTGTTTTTCCACAGTGCCTCTTCATTTCCAATACTCTGTACCGTGCGCAGAAACGGGTACCGCTTTCTCACCCTCTCATATGGCACCCGAGAGAGTCCCCGGTACCGGTCCCATCGTCCGCCTTCTTTGGTGCCAGGGTAGACCGGTCGCAGGCGATCACTTTTGTCAAAGACTCTGCATCACCCACTCTGTGGGTCAAAATCAGGGACCACGCCGTCCATCAGTCTCATCAGTCCTTTCACCAAAAAATACTATCTATCATTACCAAGAGCCTCAAAGGGACCACCACCCTGTATGCCTAGCTGTGGGACTATTGGCCGGAAGCCGTACCCAGGACTATTGGCGACGGAGCTATACCCAGGGCCATTGGCGAGGGAGCTATACCCAGGGCTACCGTCTTCACCTGAGGACAACGTGCATTCATTATTGCTGTATGTAGACTTGAAGTTGCCCCAAATACAGCCATAATGAGAGTAGGTTTTGTTCAGGTGAAGACGGTAGTGGCGAGGGAGCTATACCCAGGGCTATAGGTGCGGGAGCTATACCCAGGGCTATTGGCGAAGGAACTATACCCAGGGTCATTGGCAGGGAGCCCTGCCCACCTGAAAGGGCGATCCTACTGCCACCACCTCCACAGGGAGGGGAAAAAGGAGAGGAGAAAAGATTAAAAAGAAGGTCAAACAGCTTTTTTGTCGAGGCGAACAGGGTGACCCTTGCCGATTTCTCACGCTGCAATGACCGAAACATTCCCTTTTTCATTTTATTTTTTCGTCTTCACTAAAACATTTTCTGTTGTCAATTTAGCACATGAGAGATAGAAAAGAAGAGATAACGCAAAGTGATGAACGCTGATCCGCAGTTGCAACATCAGCTCGGAAGTAAGCCGCAGAAAATGAATCTGTGAAGTGACATCATGTGCGCTAATAATAGCACCTGATGTGACCTGATCACATCTGTGACGTCATCAGATATGATCTGATCACACCAGATCTGATGTGATGCGTTCACACGAGATCTGCTGTGATCTCTTCACACCAGAACTGATATGATCTGATCACACCATATCTGATGCGATGAGGTCTGGTTGTTTGTCTGTTCTACCGTCTGATTGACTGATTGATTGAATGGTTGATGGATTGATTGATTGATGGATGGATGGATGGATGGATGGATGGATGGATTGACTGACTTATTGATTGATTGAATTGATCGACTTATTGATTGATTGAATTGATTGATTGATTGATTGATTGATTGATTGATGACATAAACGGAACGGAATGCTTCAACAACAACTCATGTCTGTCTTTTCTTGAGTTTTGCATTTTTCTTTTTCTAAAAGAATTTGGATCATTTCTCACTTTATGTGTGTCATCCTTGCGTGCGCAGGGGCCAGGCCAATCTTCGCAGTATCATTCCGATTTGGAGTAGTAGTTTGTGTACACCATTTTTAGCCTCCTTCTCTACCCCCTCCTCCTCCCCCCCCTTTTGCGTTTCAGCATCTTGCTGCGACAGCATAGGAGGCAAATCTGCCAGACAGCATAGTAAGCACACGTTGACTTTTGCTGGTCCCTTTTTTTTTTTTTTTTTTTCACTTTTGAAAATACTAAGCTATATTCTTCTCTTATATATGCCTCACGCTACCTAATCTCCTATCCGAGAGGAGATAACACCGACCTCGACCCTAATAGCCTAAGCACCACTGCAATCCCTAACACCTGGTGCAATAAAAAAAGGATCAGACAGCAAATTACGACAGAGTCTGCAGTACCCAAGAGCCTAGGTCAGTGGGTACACCATTGAACTGTTGAAATGCAGACCCGTGTTCGAACCTAGATGACGGAACTTGACGAGCAAACTCAAATATTTCTGAATTGCCTGGGGCCGGTCAGCTCAATGATGATATCTCAAGACCGTTGCCTCCTTTAAAAAAAAAAAAAAAAAAAAAAAAAAAAAAAAAAAAAAAAAAAAAAAAAAAAAAAAAAAACAGAGTCTGCAGTTCCTTGTGCATTTCCAACAGACATCTGCACAAGTATCAGACACTGACAGACAGTCAAACGGACTAAGACTGGCATCATATCACATATACAGATTACGAAAATGCACTGCAAATGACAGCAGAACAGACTCAAAGCTGGTTAAGCATACATTATTCCGCGAGTGATGAGTTAACCCGGCCGGCGTACCCATATGCCGGAAAAATCCGTGTGACTGTCTTTTATTAAAAAAAAAAAAAAAAACAGACTCGATGCGTACGTACTACGTAGTAAATGTGAGTCGTCATCAGCTCACGTGTGCTGATTACGTCCCTGCCCTTCGTACAAACTGCACGCTGCGCCTGCCGATTGGATGTTTTTTTCGGTGGAGTTGTGTGGATCGCGGCGCTCAGAGTGCTGTGAGGAGTTCATCGAGCTTTATCATTAAGAGGAAGGAGAAGTCGTCGTAACAAGGTTTCCGTAGGTTAACCTGCAGAAGGACAATCAAGGGGGGGGCGGGGGGGGGGGGGGGGGGGGGGGGGGGGGGGGGGGAAAGAGAAGAAAAGACAGCAGAACAGACTCAGACTTAGAATTCTCAGGGAAAAAAAAGGATCGAAAGGCCCAATGAAAATGGGCTATCAGATTGCACAGATCTACCGCCCACATCGGGCCGTTTTTCGCGTTTTGCAACTTTTTCCGGCCTTCTTGAGGCCTCGTACCAGTTTCGGGCGTTCAGCCCGCCTCTTGGGACCCCCTCACGCAGCCCGGCACATCTTTCCTGCTGCACTGGGACTGCGCCAAACACTCGAACAGGCGCCCGTACATCGCGTGCCCCCTATGGACCGCAGCGACGTGCGAAAATGGCCCCGACGTCCATGGCTGGCTCTGCCTAGATTTATAAATTTCATTTGTAAACGAAATCACATCACCCGCTGTAGCCGGCCTCTCGAAAGAAAAACAGGCGGCGCTCGTCGGATACAACAGAATACGACTCCCTTTGACTGCACGAGTCGGGCTTTGAACGGTTGACAAGTGGATTAAAAAATTCCACTTCTGTGCTCCAGCCTTGAAGTATCATCATCGAATTGATTGACAAGCCGCAGGTAATTCAAAGCTGTTATTAATTAATTTATTTTTATTTTTTTTAATTTGGAACAACAAAAGGAGGTGGTCTACTTCTGCAAGCAAGTTTTTTTTTTTCTTTTTTTTTATAACTTGGAACAACAACCTGTAGTGGGGAGAAAGAAACCTGAGAGAGTGTTTTCGTCGGGAAAAAGAAAACCTAAGTGTCCGAAAAGACTCTGACTTTAACTTGTGAATGTAAGATCTACGGAGAGCAGAGAGAGGCACATGAAACTGGTACCCCCCCTCTTGCTTCGGCCTCTCACAGTGAGCGCAACACAGAATAAAGTGGATTGATTGGCGGGAAATGGCTTGATGGCAGAGTATAGCCTTGTCAAGGGCCCAAGCCTCTAAGGTTGAGGGTTCAAATCCCATTTTTTGAATTTTATTTCCGTTCGTCGGCTTTGCTGCTCGGCCAATGGAATGCATTCAAGTTCAGCAGTCGAGGAAGAGCGAACTTACTCGGATTGAACGACAGTCGACGAGGACAACACTGGAACGGGACGGACAGTCGGGAAGAGTTGTGCCCGGCGCTTGAAATCTGCAATATCCTTGATCAACGCGGTATCGCCGGGCTTTTCGCATCCGTCGGCCACCTTCATCGCTTCATCCGCCTCCGACATCATTGCTTGGCAATTCTTTCCCCAAATTTGCACCGCAAGCTTGCGCCTGGTCGTGGATGCAGCAGAGAGATAGGAGTCGTAACATTGAAGGAGATCTTTCATCTTCAGTTCATGAAGAGCTTGGGCTTCGAGCTCGCGAGCATTGAAAAGATACCGGTTGTCCCATATCTGGGCCCAATGTCGATCGCTTTCCTCCTCCAGGTTCGTGTCCTTCTCCAACTTCTGAGAAATGAGCGCTTCCTGATGATTACTGAATTGCTCGTCGGTCATCGTAACAAGATAGTTCCTGAAGTCCTCGATGAACGCATCGATACGCGAGTGCACGTGCCGAGGGTGGTATTCCGCCGACTGAACCCGGAAGCAAAGACCCATTACCGACTGCGTTACTCTGACGCTGCATTCCACCGAGTACCCCAGCTGCTCCTTGGTTCTCAGCTGGTCGAAGCTCGGCTCCCAGATTATATGCTCCAGGAGGTCCACAATCGCGCGATCTCGAACCGTCTCCTTCCCCCAGTCCTGCTTCATTTGGAAGTACATCTCGACAACGGAGTTTTCTTCAGCGTCCAACTTCGCACGTGCATTGATCACATACGAGACGCCATCCGTGAGCTGCACGATTCTTTCGACCGGTCGATCCTCAGGTCGCAATGGTTTTCGCGGTAAACAGGACTGCACAGTCTTCACCAGCTCCAAGGCCTCCTCCTCCGTCAAGTTCCCGTGAGCCAGAAACTCCGTGAATGTTTGGTCCAGCATGGCTGGAACAAAGGCGGCCAGGTCCTCGGGCGTGCAAGAGAGTAATGCATCGAGTCTCTCCTCCACCGGGAACCCTCTTTCCCGGAGAACGCGAAGCCTCAGATACGCCGAATGCTTCAACGGTTTCATATTGACATTGCCGTAATCTCGAACGAGCTCCTCCTTCACAACTTCAAACCTGTCCTTGTGCACTTCGAAATCTCTTAGTTGTTCGAACACCGTCTTCACGAGCAGCCCAAGTTTGTCGTTGAATCCATGAAACTTGAACTCTAAGCGGCTCCCGCTCAACGTTGCGTTCCAATCCAGCCTAGCAACGCTCGCCAGGTACACGGTTTCGCTGAGGGCGTCTGCATGGAGCTTGACAAACAGCTCCCCGAGGACAACATTCTTCGCACTACGCACAAACACCCCACTGGTAATCGCAAAGTACACGCTTGCCCTCGGCGTTTTGAAGACCATGTCCTTCAGGTAGTGCAACTTCATGCAGTCGTCTTCGTAAATAACTTTCGGGAAACGTTTGACAGCTGTATTCAGGGAGCTCGGCGGCGCCGGCGCCAGCTCGGTGAGTTTGTCGGATGTCTCCGGAGTTGCTTTCGAGTACGTCGTCCCTGCTGCGTCGTCAACTTTCGCAGGCAACTCCGCCAACGTCACTTTCGCGGTTAACTCCGTCGACATGATTTTTGCGCATGACCCTGGCGACATGACTTCCACAGCAGAGGACTCGGTCGGCACGGCTTCTGGCAACGGTGCTTGCAATGATGTGGCTTTCCCAGACGATTCCAGCGAAGACGTGACTTTCGCAGGTGCTGACTCTGAGGTTGTGAGCACATCGCATAGCTGACCCGAATCGCCGACGGGCTCCGCCAGTTTCACAGGCTCAACGCGCAGGGTGAAGTCGTGCGGAATGAACAGATTCTGCACTGGCATGTGGAGTGCAGGGTTCGAACTCGGCGGTTTCGCCCACCGTTCCACGAGCTCCGCGTCGATGTCTTTGACCCGATAACGAACTCCGAACCAAGGTTCCACAAGTACACCTGGCGACGTGTTGTCGAACGACCGCGTCACTACGTCGACACGCATGTTTTCAGGAGAGAGCCAGTTAAACACATCCTCCACAAGCGCCGGATCCCACTCCTCGACGATATACTCTCCAGCGATGACGTGTTCCTCCGGATAGTGGTGCATGTTTTCCGCAAGACGGCAAGCGTAATCCTCGGGCAGATCTTCCTCTGCAAAGCGGAACTCCATATCCGCCACAGATTTCAGTTCTCGAAAGACCCACTCCTGCGGTCCGACCTCCTTTGCCATATGGATGTATTCGTAAACCAGCCCGATAACATCCATGACCTTTTCGAGTCCGAGCACTGTGAGCTGAATGCTTATACTAAACAGATACATTGCAGAGTTGCGCTCGAAACCACTGTCCCCGATTCCCGCCGTTAAGCTCCGCGCCAGCCCCTTGGCCTTGAGAAGAGAGAGAATGCTCCCAGCTCCCTCGTGGCCGATAAGATGGGAGACGTAGTCGTGAGGCTTTTTGCGATAGACGGAATCGAGGCAAGGGAGAGGCCACTGCAGGCTTAGTTGGTGCTGATCTTTGACCGACTGCACGATGTACATCTTCCCCTTCTCCCACAGTCTTCCTTCTCGCGCAAAGTTCAGCCTCTCCGCACCCCCGGGTCGCACACCGACAAACAATTCCTTCACCGTCTTCTCCATATCGTCAAGAGGTTCTGCCCCTAAAACAACCAGCTTCATCCTTCCTGCCCTGTAATGCTCCTTGTACAGATTGATTAGCTTCCCCCTTATCCCCTTTCCTTTCGCAAGCGCCTCACCCAAACTCTTCCTGTTGCCCCAGCTGAACTTGTGTAGTTCATACACTGAGTTGGCAGTATGACACTGAAGCTGCTGCAATCGGCACCGGTCATTCTGTACGGACTGATTGAACTCAGAGTCGACAGACTGCACTTCTCGTTCCATCGCTTCATCTTTGGCCAGGGGAGCGATGAAGAATTGCGCGAATCTGTCGAGCGCCGGGGTCAGGAACTTGTGATTAACTTCGAAATGGAAGCACGTATGCTCTGCGTCGGTGTAGGCATTCGAGCTGCCACCGTGTGCGGACAAAAACGAGTCGTAATCGTTCTCATTAGGAAACTTCTCACTCCCCATGAAAAGCATATGCTCTAGAAAATGCGCGAGACCCTGCGCATCTAAAGGGTCCGAGAAGCTCCCAACGCCAACACACATGGCAGCCGCCGCTTTCTTCGCCCCGCCCTTGGGCATGTCACGTCGAGGTCCATCGCTCTCATCTTCGGACGACCCATCGTCTTCCTCCTCATCGCTTTCATCTCCACACTGTTTGCATCCTTCACACTTGTCACCGCAGCCACCCTCGCCCTCGTCACCCTTATCCCCTGGACCTCCATTAGTCAAAACGGCGGCCGTCTGCTCTTCATCAGCCGTCTCCCACCCACTATCATCATCGTCCTCGCCGTCCCCATCCTCATCCTCGTCATCATCATCGCCATCGTCACTATCATCTTCTTCATCGCTGTCTGAGGCACAGCCCCGACCAGCACCTGCTCGACGCCTCGACCTTCGCGCTGCACCCCCTTTGTCGTCGCAACTACCATCAACACCATCACCGCCTTCTCCCTGCGACGCGCCGATTTCCGGATCGTGGATCAGTAGCGCACAGAGACCATTTTCCAACGTGATCGCCCGATAAAGCCGCTTGTCCCCTGCGGACTTTATGACCTCTACCTGTTGCTTCCCAGCAGACGACGCATTTTCCTCCGAGCACTCCACGCCAGCTCCTGCCATATCCGAGCTCGGCTCCGCCATCAACCTAGAGAAGGCGATGCAGCATGCAATCAAGGAATTGCCAGATTATTATTTTATTCATCCAATTCCATCAGGAGTCGAACTCCGATCTCTTTATCAGCAGTCGCATTAATTACTTATTTACTAAATTTTATTTATTTACATATTTACAAGGCTACCAGCCGGGGCGCCTGGGTCACCTTGTTTTCCCAGGCAGCCCAGCTGTGCACGGACGATTTCCAGCAAAAAAAAAAAAAAAAAAAAAAAAAAAAACTGTAGTATGCACAAAAAAAAAAAAAACTGAACAACTTTTGCCTCAGGGTCACATCGAACTTCTTTACCAAATTTACGATTAAAACATACAACTAAGAAATGTTTTTTTTTTTGGCCTGGCCAGGCAAGTGGTCCCGGTTCACTCTGGTAGCCTAGCTTATTTATTTATTCATTCATTTCTTTCTTTTTTTTATTTACTTTGTATTTATGGCTCACGAATTCATTCATTCATTTCTTTATTTCTTTATTTACTTTGTATTTATGGCTCACGAAAC